AGCTGAAATGGCGATTTTGGTGGATGGGAGTGTGCTCAGAACGGGTCGAAATCATTCTAAACGTGTGGTGTGGTGCAAATTTTGTTGAAGCTCATGTGAGATGATATTCTCACTTTTCGTGGCAGGCACAGTACTTTGTGCTGATTTTGAGGTGTGGAAGTGCGATTTTCGTGGCAGGCGCAGGAAATCGTGAGGTTGCGAGGTGTGACGGAGGTGACATTTCGTGGCAGGCGCAGTACTTTGTGCGCGTTAGACGTGTGGATGCGGAAAGATTCGTGGCAGGCGCAGGGAATCGTGAGGTCGTGAGTTATGGTAGAGGTGAATGTCGCTGTCACATTGGGATTTGCGTGTGAGCGGGTGTTGTTTGGAGGGGCTGGAATCGCGAAATTGCTAGGCAGGGCTGCGTGATGTGTGTGCTTCGATGGGTGTTTCCGCTGGACTTTTGGAGGAAGTCTCGTGCAAAACGCTCGTTTTTTGAGACTTGACGCGTGACTTTTGGAGGAAGTCTCGTACGAAACGCTCGTCTTGCAGCCTCGCAGCGTGACTTTTGGAGGAAGTCTCGTACGAAACGCTCGTTTTGGAGACTTGACGCGCGAAATTTGGAGGAAGTCTCGTACGAAACGCTCGTTTTTGAGACTTGACGCGTGACTTTTGGAGGAAGTCTCGTACGAAACGCTCGTTTTGGAGACTTGACGTGTGACTTTTGGAGGAAGTCTCGTACGAAGCGCTCGTTTTGGAGACTTGACGCGTGACTTTTGGAGAAAGTCTCGAACGAAACGCTCGTCTTGCGCAGCCTCGAAGCGTGACTTTTGGAGGACGTCTCGTACGAAACGCTCGCAGGAGTGCTTCTAGTGTGCCACAAGAGTGTCCTACAAGAGTGTCCCACAGGCACAAGAGTGTCCCACAAGAGTGGTCCTACAAGAGTGTCCCAGAAGAGTGTCCCACAAGAGTGTCCTATAAGAGTGTCCCACAAGAGTGTCCTACAAGAGTGTCCCATAAGAGTTTCCTACAAGAGTGTCCCACAAGAGTGTCCCACAAGAATGTCCCACAAGAGTGTCCCACAAGAGTGTCCCACAAGAATGTCCCACAAGAGTGTCCCACAAGAGCGTCCCACAAGAGTGTCCTACAAGTGTGTCCTACAAGAGTGTCCCACAAGAGTGTCCCACAAGAGTGTCCTATAAGAGTGACCCACAAGAGTGTCCTATAAGAGTGTCCTACAAGAATGTCCTACAAGAGTGTCCCACAAGAGTGCCCCACAAGAGTGTCCTGCAAGAGTGTCTCACAAGAGTGTCCCACAAGAATGTCCGACAAGAGTGTCCCATAAGAGTGACCCACAAGAGTGTCCTATAAGAGTGTCCCACAAGAATGTCCGAATCAAACATGTCCTACAAGAGTGTCCCATGTCCCACAAGAGTTTCCTACAAGACTGTCACACAAGAGTGTCCCACAAGAATGTCCCACAAGAGTGTCCTACAAGAGTGTCCCACAAGAGTGTCCTACAAGAGTGCCTTTCAGGAGTATCCTACAAGAGTGTCCTGTAAGAGTGTCCCACAAGAGTGTCCTACAAGAGTGTCATTTGGACATATGTAGCTTTTCGAACGTGTTTGCATTCGGGTTCGTGGGCTCCATCTTGTTTTTTAATGCTTACTTCACTTCCTCAGAATTTTCCTATCAAGTAATAGACCATTCCATCATAAGAGTTTGCCCACTCATACTCCCAGGTCCGCCATGCCAAATCCGCCATGCCATGCGATCCATGCTCCGGTCTTTTTGGACGTGTTGGTCTCACACGATCCGCCGTACAGCTCCGCTAGGCATGCGCAAGGTGCCCGTGGACCGTGCACCGTGGTGAAATTGGCCACCTGGGTGGGGCAGATCCGCTGCGGTGTGGGGCAGCGGAGTGTGTGCGGCACTTCGTTTGGAGGCCAGAAATGAATGCTTTATCGGTGAATGATATCAAATAGTGAAACTGTCGGCGACTTCAAGTCTACCTAACCGTGTCGGTGTATTTTTGGGTGGAAACCCTGGCTGTTAGTGAGAAGTGAAATTAAGGTAATCACGGTACACCCTATCAGGTGGACTGAATCAGACTGTATTATAACTATGTTTAGTCCTAGAATAGGAAACAGCGGCATGACTACTATGAATTCTCTTTGCCCAGCAACCAGGCAACCAGGTGTTTGTTTCTTGTAGCATTTTAGGTTGTAGCCCTGATCACAACTCGCAAAATTCCTGTGGGTGTGGGCCATGTGCAAGAGAGAAAACAACACTCAATCGAGCACTCGTGCCTGACACTTCTTCGCCTTAGGGCCTTCTTATGACTGATTTGGGGGAATCCCCTGCTTGAAGCCACATAATTACCCATCGTGACATGATAAGAACAGCTTTGGACTCGTGAGGGCTCGCAAACACGCCAAGGATGACACAACATGTCTTCATATTTTCTTTGGCCAACACATTCGATCGTGAAATCATGTACAAATATGTACAAATAACATGTGTCTATCAATAGAATCCATTTGTATTGGCATTGGATGACATTGGTGTCTCTTAGACATCCTGACTATATTAGGACGATAGGAACAAGGATTTCGGAAACGTCACATCTGCTCAATGCTGCTCCGGTCACGGAAGCTCATGCCATTGGGCCAGGTCTCAGTGCCTGTCGATTCGACCGATCGTCTCCGGAGAACGGTGTGGAGTTGCTGTGGTTGTGGCTAGACCAGGGCCCCCGAAACTCGGGGTGTATGGCTCCTTAGAGGGTATCCATGAAGCACCCCAAAGCGAGTACGCAACGTGCAGCTACTTCTGTGGCTTGCAGGGGCAAAGGATTTCGAGCTTTTCTTGGCTGGAATTGAAGCGGCAAAAGACTATGGTGAGTGAAGAGCCCCTTCAAGGCCTTCAAGAGCCCCTTCAACAGCCCGGCTGTGGTGGCAAGAACCTTCTCTCTCAACATATCCCAAGAGTGTGATGCTCTCAAGGAGATATGTCCCCGGACCGGACCCCCTGTGATGAGTTCCCGCGTGACATCGGTCGACCGGTCGACCCGTCGACCCGAGTCGACTCATGTTATGGCTGCGCACCGATGGTGTATGGCCCATAAATCATGAACGGTAGGATCGCTGATCTGTGAAGGATTTTTGCAACGAACGCCTCTGCAACCCCAGAGCAAAACCTCCAGGCAAAATGAGCACGTGAGTCCCAACCCACTCTGCTATGTTCCAACCACTGCCCACTGCCAACCCATGCCCACGTGTACATCGCGATTTGGACTGAGTCTCCACCCATGAAGACGGAGCTCGTGTCAGGTAGCTTGGCACAACTACGACTAGCTGTTAGATCGTACAGAACAAGTGGTTTCTATATATATATATGTTTTAACAGATATTCACAGCTATTCCCTCCTTCCAGGTGTCTTTCGATGGAACAAACAGCTCCAAAATCTGCTTCAGTCATGGGAACTGGAGATGCTCCATGTATTTGGCCCCCCCACTGACAACTACCACTCCCCATACTCCCCTCCAAGAAGATCCGGAGCAGCTGGCAGAAGCTCTGGCCTTGTCCATGTTTCTGGCCTTCGAACCACTGACCCACATAGCGGGCGCCCGAGTTGGACATGAACTCGCCTTCGCCATGCAACCTGGAGCACCACGGACGTGGACCCGACCCGTGCTCCGTCCGACGTACTAGGGGACGTCTGGACCCGAACCAAAAACAGGGTATACACTCTGGTACCCATGTTCCAAGATATCTGGGGGTATACCGTCTTGTACCCATGCATGTTCCAAGGTCTTTGGAAGGTGCAGGTAGATGTTTATAGTCAAGGAAGACCCCGAATTTTCTCCCCAAACGTTCGGCGGAATGTTCTGCATGATTCTTCCATTTGGGCCGTTGGGTGGACCTTTTGGTTACCAACAAACACACCAAGTGCAATGGCATACATACATGTCCCATAGGGTCCAGGTATCTTATGAGGATGGTCTTGGAGGTGAATACGTGCTTCCGCAGAAAAGTCTTTGGGGCCAAAGGACGGCCGATTCGGATGGTCCTGGACCCTTAGGGTTTTTGATGAATTGCGATTTAATCACTTTGGGTTTCTTGGCACAAAACAATCTCGTGTTCCACTTGTCATCTGTTCAAGTTCCAGGTTAGGCTTTGAGTCAGTCACATGCCGGCCCTCTGAACAAAAAAGGTTCCGTTTCTCTCACCCAAAGAGTGTTGCACTGCGGTCAAGAAATGCACAACACTGACGTCCTTTAGGACAACTATATATAAAGGGGTCGAGTTGGTCTATTCATGCCATTTCATATACCTATAGCCTATATCTGCCTCTGCTGGTTGTTCAGCATGGAGTGAAGACACACTCAGAATGGAGTCAATCAACCGAGGTCGTCAAAGGCCGGTACAGCTGATGCACAGCTGTTCCCTAAGCGGCAAGAAGATGGGACCTTGAGGAGACCTATTGTCGTCTTCTGAAACACCACTCCAGCTGCGAAGTCGGCTGTAAATCTAAAGCACGATAGGAACAAAAATCAAGTGCCAGATGTCCTTGAACATCCTTGAACCCTAATTATCCTACAACTTACACTAAACAAACATTAAACACGCACAAATCATCACAAAACCATCATGTGATCCATGAAAGACATCATCGGACCCCCATCCCCAGCCCCAGACCCCCCTCCCTTTCGACTGCGCGGCTGTCCATCCCAATTCCCTCGCCAATGGCCGCCTTCAGGGCCGGGCACCTCTGCGAGGCGGGAGGGACCGGGTCACCATCGTCCAATAAGGGGTCATGTCTGGGCTAAGAAGGAAGAAATAGGGGATGAGACTGAGCTCTTCCCATCACCAATTCAAATTCACACAGCAGTCGCACCCCAGCACCGTTGTGGGTGTCTTTACCGTGCTTTCCACCCAACAGCAATACCTCGCTCCAACATCTGTCGCTCTCAACATCAGGGCCACCACTCGTCGGCACGGTCGTCGCGAAGCTGTCACACCTGAAGTTCTCCATGGCCTTCCGGCCACCCGTTCGGGTGCCACCCCCCGCGGTAGCTGCGGCCGTCCGCCCAGTGCACCAGCATCGGCAGCTCAGTGGGCGTCGCTGACAGCTCAGCACCGAGCCAGGGAAGTTGCTTCAAGTGGGGTTCAGTGGAACCTGAGTCCAAAACGTGTTTTTTCTTTGGCGCGCCGGTGTGGGCATTTGGGGAGTATATGGCATCGTTTCGGCTGGTGTAAGTTTCAGTGTTGAATCTTTATATATATATATATATAGATTGCTTCTTGAGAAACATGGGATATGGGTAGGATGCTGTTCAAATTTGAGACTATTGCTGATGCTTCAATATTGGGTAGTACTGTATGATGTAGCATGATGTAGTATGCATTTCTTCGAACATTCTTGGATATCGTCACTACTCACGCACTCAAGCCCCTAAGACAAACTGTAAGAGTGGATGGCCGACCGGAGGAGTGCTTTAAGAATTTTGGCCTCACGCTGAAAAATTAAAAACAACTTAACAACTATGTAAATTAAAGAAAGTCAAGGGTGTATGATGGGTATAAAGGATTATGATGGTGAGTGCTCTAGCGTTTCATGGACCTCTATTCATCTCTATTCAACCAACAGTGGCCCAATGGCCATTTGAACCCTGCAAAGGCTATGTGTGCTTGCACACATGGAGTTTCCAGATCGATGTCTGTTTGCAAAGAGGACGTTGGACTGCAGAACGGATCATCTTGACTGGGTGGTGCGAGCTCGTGCTACATCCGGAGTTGCTCCGCGAATGGCCTAGGATCGTCGATGTATGTTTTCATAGACCCGAAAACGCTTCGTAGCTCGGAAAATTGGTACAGTCATCTAGCAGCAGCACCCAGTTTGGAGGGTTTATCTGGACCCCCCAGCCCCACCTATCTATTTATTTTCCATGTAATAACCGCCCTTTGTGTGGTGCTGGTACATGTTAAACCTTTTCCAGGGTCATGTGTCCCATTTTCTAGGGTACGAACAAAGTCGGGTCCAGGTTTGGCCCAGCCACTCTCCTTGATCTTCTTGGGCTTCCTCGGTAACGTAAGCTCCGTGAGATCTGGCAGGTCGCGAATGCGCACCTCCTCCTCGAGCGCCAGGCGTTCGCGCCGCGACTGGTGACAAATCGGCAAGTTGCAGGTGTAGATCTCTTCGCTGTTCTGAAGCACTGAGACTAAACACTGACTCATCCTGAGAGCAGCGCGGGCTGAGGTAGAGAGCTCCCGAGCCGCTAGTTTTGGGCAGCGCTTGACACAGATATGAAGGTTGGAGCTAGATAGCTACCGAACAGCTCATATACTTTCTTTCTCGCAATCAAGTGTCAAAGCAAAGCAACCAACAGGGCCGCAACCGTCCACAGGCAGTTGCTACACATCTCTCTGACAAGCCCAACGAGTGACTTCAAAATGGATGGAGTCCTCCCTGGAGTCTGGAGTTGACCTGTTCGTACCTCCGAAAATGTTTTTTATTTTTTTAAACGAGGGGCTTGTTGTGAGTTGCAGAACATTTGCCTTTGTAACAACTCACAAAAAGCCTTGTTGTGCGTTCTGGTAATTTTTAAAAGATAGGGTCATCTCCCGTTTTCAGGTACGAACTGGAGGTACATCAATTTGGCATATCGAGTCTGTATAAATCCAGGCTCCAGTTCTACCTCCATGTGCGGTGAAGGTGCCAGTTTGGACGTGCTCTTCTTTGCACCCCCAAACTTATACCTAGCGCTTCCAAGGGGTGCCCAATGGAGACCTGTAAGTAGTGTGGAGATATCCATTGGTGACCCCTTGGAAGCAGCTGGTAGGGATATGTCTACAACGTCCTGTGGTTTCACAAAAAGCGCACGGATCTCCGACCCTGTCCAGATCGCGCACACTTCCCGCTCGCGCGGGATGGTAGCCAGGCATCTCTTGCCCGTTGGAGGGACATCGCCAAGTCCATGCGCTCTTCCGATCGGTCGAGGTCATTTGGAGTCGTCACGGCCGGTCCAGGGCGTTTCTGCGAAATGCAACATGGCCAGCTGCAGCAGGCAGTGCAAATGTTGGTGCACTTGTTTGTTTGGTTGGTTGGTTGGTTGCTTGGTTGGTGCGAGGTGTTTTGGTTGTTTGGTTTGAACTCCCAAAGGTTCTGATCTGTCAAGCTGGCATTTTCTCTGAGGTGTCCGAAAGAGCAACCATGTGAGTTTAGCGATCATAAAGAAATGATTGGGATTATAGATCTAATTTCGATCTGATTGTACTAATTGCGCTTCAATGGACACGGATACCCAGGATCAATGACAAATATGGTGAAATAGAACTGGCGAGAAGCCACGGACTTCAAACGTAGCAACACCTGTTGATGGAAAAATTGCTGAAGCCACTGAGAGCTTTGGGCATGCACAGCAAACACACCAATCGAGCCCCAGGAAGGGTCAGCTTTATGGAGTCTCTTCTCAATTTTTCTCAACTACGGCATGAGTGCATTTTTATGCATTTTTGAGGTCCTGAAGACTTGGAAGCATCTGACCTGCGTGGACAACAGGCGCGTTGCATGTCTGCGTGGACAACAGGTACGTGCCCCAAGGGAGAGGAGGAACGCCATGATTGAGGATGAACGAATTTCGAAGGAACGGGCATCGTGAATGCCACCCGGTGGTGTGCTTCACCCAAATCATGTTGCTCTGTTAAACAGCGAATCAATTGTGAGATCACCACGCACCTGCCATCCACCAATCTACTGAAATCCAAAGCCACCGCGGTCAAATGACTCTCTTACCAAGCATTGTGACTTCCCTCAGTTTCCCTGACAATCAAGGTTACGCCTCTGATGTTTTGTGGCTTCCAATGGTTCCCACCAATCCCCATATCCATCATCAAAAGCAGTTTGGAAGCGCTATGAAGCGCTTGCTGATCCACGTGTGCAGGCATCCCACCCAGTCTCCTGAAAGGTCCTTCCCAGCCCCCACGACCGCGACGCGACGCGAGCGACCGACCGGCGCCCCGGTTTTCGTTCGGAACCACCGGGACTCGGAATTCGCGGCGGGTGGGGGCTGCGCCCCGAAGGAGCTCGGGAATACCACTTCGCGCGAGTGCGGTCCGACTGCGTCCAGTCTGCGTCCAACATGCGTCCAGTCTGCGTCGGCCAGACTGGACTCGGAAGAGTGGAGTCGAGTGAAGTGCAATGCATCGAGTGAAGAGAAAGAGGGGTTCAAAACGAGATGTATCTGGAGGTAACTGATATTAACTGATGTATCTGGTTTGAAAGGTCTTTGGACCAGTCACATGTCGGGGTGGTGTTGAGTCCAGTGAGTGGATGTTCTGGGCACCCCTAACTACCTCCATGGATCGCACCCCTTTGTGACTGCTGGGAGATGCGTTTAGTCTTTATAGCTATTTAACAAAAGCAAATGGTTGGGGGGGAGGCCTAACCCACGTGTTGCAGCTTAAGGTAGCTTCCTAGCTACCTTAAGCTGCTCATGTTGTGCTCATCGAGTTCTCACGGACCACTCGGGTGGCTCTATCGGTGTGAAAGCACTCGCAACCCCTAACGAAGCGAGTGGAACAAACGAGCTTCTTCGAACAACACTCTTCTCCAATGCCCAGGTTTCCTCCCAGGCCACGAGATCAGGAACCAGGGTTAGGTCTCTGGTTGTAGTGTTTGGAACCACTGCTAACCAGAACTTCGTTGCTTACATGTTGCAACTGGATCCTTGTGGGATGGGATCGCCCAGCTGCAGGGGGATGCAGACTTCGGGAAGTCCAATGATGGTCACATCACTGGCCACTGACGAAGCCCATCGTTGAAGTTTCAGCCCGCGCCCCAAAACCTGTGACCGACCCTGACGAGTGGAACTCCAACTCTAAGGCCTGTGACGGGGTCACGGGCCGTGTGTCCGGCGTGAGTGCGGACGATCTTGAAACTCCCTGAAAATCATTGAGTCTCGGACACTCCAACCCTGCACCTCCAAAACGGCGACCGACTTGGTTTCACGGCCACCGACTTGTCACTGCACTGGTGCAAGGCGGATTGGATCGGAAGTGCCGATCCAATAGCTTGGAATTTAAAGAAGTGCCTAGAAAACCCAAGTATGCAAAAAAAATGTAATCGTGTTCTTTTCCGGCAAAAAAGGTCATCTCAGCCAAGAAACGTCATTGTTTTGTAAAATTGTAGTTGCTGCGATCAAGCCAGTGGAGGGTATGCAATATTCATTTTTTTTCAGCTGCTTCCAATCCCAAATCCAGCCTCTTCTTACACCAAAAGGTAGTTTTTCACCTAAACTTAGGCTCTTTCAGTCGGTTCCGGCGAAAGTGCAAGGATACACCGTACCTTTCGATGGCCCTTAGGATCACCTGCTTGCTTGCAACCTGTCTACTGACACGGCCGATTCTCCCAATAATAAGAACTTTGTTTGCACAATGCCATTTAACTGACACGCAAAATTTGGACAGTTTGACAATTTCCCTCGTCTCAAAAGTGGTTTGAGAAAAATTTGGCGTTTGGGCCGAAGTCATACACAACCTGTAACGCAGTGCGAGCCCCTCTTAAGGAATCGAAACAACTACTACAGCGAGTTAGCTGTGTTTTGCTCCTGCAACTGCTGGAGAAGGGTGTCTTCCTCATCAGGGGGCTGCACAACATCATGTGTCGGGCAGGGCATGCCTTCAAAGCCCTCACCTCACACAGAGTGGCGCAGCTCGAAACCAAGGAGTTGATAGGAGCAGGCGTGGCCACATCAAAGGAAACCTGCATGTACCAACGTACCAGAGGCCCCTGAAACAGCAAAAAAGATTACATTCAAAACATCCAAACCGTGTCCGGCAATTTCCGCAATTTTTCCGGTGATTTCCGTCATTTGGACGGTAAATTCCGTAATTGTTTTTCGGCCACTCCTGCATGGAAGTTTAAATGTCCACTGACAAAAATGGAAATCTCAGCGATTGCAGATCGAGCTAGGTTTTGTTTTCCCTTGCCCCAAGCGTTTCTCTATTTTTCAGCTTTGAATGATCACCGCAACTTATCCGAATCTTTCAGGCAAGATGGAATCAAGGCATTCCATGACAAGCTGTTGGGATAATTTGACACATCTCAAACACAGCATGCTCTCAGTGAAATTGGCTTCTGTCCGGTCGATTTCCAGGGCCTTCGCTTCGAAGTTCTTCGAGGGCAAAGGCAGAGCAGCTTTTCAACGTCTTGAAGTTTTGGCCACTCTAACCATGACTATGAACTAAATAGATAGAGCTCGACCACTTTGAAATGGTTTCGATGGCGATATGGATCTCCAAAGCAATCTTTGCAAAACGAGGAAGTTGCAATTTGATGCAATTTGTGCACAGGGGGCATCATGTATCATCTAAATGCCCTCTGGTGATTGCAACATCCTTTGTGTACAGAAAGTAAGTACTGGCGCCCTGTTCATTTGCCCACAACTCCAGATGTCAGACAGAATGGTCCCATGATTTCTCAAACAAACAGCAGTAAGTATGCAAAAGGTAACAAAAGGTAACCAAAATCCAAAAAGGTAATTGTTATACAAAAAATACATTTTCAAAAAAACTGTTTTTTCTGAAACTACATTCTTTTTGCATACTTTAGGTTTACTAGGTGATGGCTGAGAATCGAGTTTTGCCAGGACCCTCCGTCGTTCGACCGTCGGTAGCCGAGGAATGACTCACCTTAGCGTTTCCAGGAACTGTCGCGCCTCGTTCTGTCCTGTTTCTGGGACGAACCTGCTGGAAAGCGTTTGGATTGAATCAAGTCATCACGATGCTAATGGAGCGAACGAACAGGATGGTGATTCACGAACGAACATGTCTGCAACGTTTTGCGGAGACGAAAGCCTGACAGGCATGCAAGGACGAAGACGAGAACATCAAAAACAGGTTTACTTACTCAAGTGTATAATGTCTCTATACACCTGCTGAGTATGCAATCGAATGCTGGAGTTGGCCAGCTTGTTTTTGCCTCGTTTCTTTTTTGAGGAGTTGGCCTCTGTTTACCTTGCGAGTTGCAGATTTGGCTGACACCTGTTCAACAACTTGACATGATTGCAGGAGGAGTGTCCAAAGACGGCTCAGCTCGACATCTCTGACAATATTTCAACCCCCTTTTGCAGCTGCTGTGCAACGGGATTTGAAGATCATCAAAAATGCTGCAAGCCCAAAGTTTGCTGTGACTGCCTCACTTTGTGTTCCTACCCTTTCAGGCAAGCTCTGCGAAG